ACAACAGTAATGAAATTTAGAAGCAAACTAAATGTCAAAGTTGATACAAGAACTGTAATTAAAGATTTCAGTTTGTTGGATTACCTCAAATTATTGGTTAAGTCAATAAACAGGACAATAAAATCGATTCTGGGTCTTGTGTTTTCAGTGTCCTCTGGCAATGGCAGACTTGTAGCAACACGGCTGCAGTTGAGTTGTTGACAAGCAACCATTAATATACATACGTGAATAAAATCAAAAACACGCACCTTAACAAGTTTACAAAAGATAAACATATGAGACCTACATTTGTAGCGAGAACTCGGTGTGAATACCAAGCATAGATCTTGCAATCCTGTGCTTTCCAATTCCCTTCACACCAACAAACTGTGTCGAAGGAGAAGGGAACAAGATAAATTTACTTTAGTAAAAAAAAACGAAAGGAAAAAAACAAGATACACCTTAAGAAAGAATGATTTCCAAACTTACCAAAACAGTTGCCTGGTTTTTGTCCGGAAGCTTTGTGAACCGGGAAAGTATGTTTACGTTTTTATCAGGAATTTCCGCCATTTTTATTTGGGTTTCGCGCTCTTCTTGTTTTGAGAGACTGGGAACAACCCTGAAAAGTCCACTGAAAGATTTGGGAACAACTCACTTCATGTATATGCGCCTGCGATACTCAAATAAACTTTTCAGTGGGTGTTTTTCAAGATGGCGGCCAAGAAGAAGCTAAAGAAAGAAAAGAGGGTCCTTGTGTTTGATGAAAATTCACGCAGGTATTTAGTTTCCCTTTTATTGCTTTTCGAAGATCAACTTTTCCTCCTTTCTCCACGTAGGTTTTCAAGAAAACCCTTGTGCTTTGGCAAACATTCAAGCAACAAAGGACTTTTTAAAATGTGCACTTGAGCGCACATTTCATGTACTGTTTCATTGGAATAGTCTCCTTATTTGCGGCAGATACATCATAAGATTGTGCTTTATAAACTTATAACGATAGCAATCCTTAATTGCATGAATTATATCATAACCTTATTATATATTATAGCATAACCTTATTGATTTTACTTCTGTATATAGCCGCAGGGCCAAACTATATATAGGTCAAACACGTAGAGAGCTTTAACTTTGCTTAAGCTTATATTTCAAGACTCATACATTGACAATTGTGTGCTTATTTTTAAGGGAGTATCTTCTTGGCTTTCG